TAAATTAAACACTGTCCCCCAGTCCCAACATGTTTAATTTATACAGGTTTTACTGTAAATGAATCTGGGGTGAAGTGCCTGGCGACAGGAATCCATCAAAAAGGGCAGCTATCGCGGTTGAGCAGGCAAGCCGAAGTGATAGCTGTATCGAGATCAAGGAAATTGTTTTTCTTCTGACCAAACCTCATCTACCTAAGACATACAAGCGCCCAGCAAGTAAGTATTGCTGTGAAATTGACCATCTCTCACGGAAAGCTATTTCCATGATTGGTGACCATATTGGCTGCTAAGTACCACGTTTAGCACCAAAATTTTCTCTATCAGGCCAAAGATTACACATTCTAACTGACGTTTTTTTATCAGCACCTAATTTTTTTAAAAGTATTAATTTGTTACATGTTAGCCTTTTCTCGTTTGTAAGATATACATATTCGTCATTAGCCTTTTCATTTGGTATGTTCTATAATTATCCTATTCAAAAGCTATCGATGGCAAGATTTATCGACGCATATTAACAGGAACTATTGGGTTTACGCCTCATGGAACAGCTTGGTTCTTTGGAAACAGGCTTCAAACCGAACGCCCCTAAATGCATCTTTAATGAGCACAAATTGTATGCGCAATATTAGAAGAGGTAATTAATTAAGCTTTGGTCAAATCGGCATCGTAGCTTGTCTTTCATATGGTGGTGTGGCAGTCAGGCAAAAATTCTCCTACTTTAAGGAACGTCTATACTTGATTGTGGAATGCACGCGTTATTTGAGAAGAGCACACTAATTATCCTTGATATATTTGGCAACATGTATGTCCATTGTGGTCCGGCTTAGCCATATAAGTGGTAGACCAGTAACAGAATCACAGTCATACGGAGCTTGGTGCGAGGTCGCTGGCCGCGGCGGTTGAGCTGCTAAATCGTACTGTACGAATTACGTTTGGTAGAATTAGTGATTAGACGTCACTTTTTTGGGGGCTAAAACTATTGACAATGGATCCATTTGACTCGCAGGAAAAAATTGAGCCTTGCAAGTCTGATCATGATAGGGCAGTGTTGCTGATTAAATTACCGTCAATGATGCGCATAATGACAGCTAGATAGGACATTACTATACCAAATCCTCTTTTTTTAGGACATCACTATTGTGAGCGAGCTACGTAAACTGCCGCTTTTTGTTCACTAAAATCAAGTTATATTCAATTCAGCTTATTATCTTATTAGCCCATTATTCATGTCCACAGCTGTAATTTTTACGATTGATATCAATATTGAAACTGAAATTTGCGGACATTTCTAAATTTATGGAAATGTCTTGAGCGTCACCAATTTATGAAGCTAGATAGATATACGACTAATTGGCACACACCACAATCTGCTACTTTGTGGTAACTATGTAAATGACTGAATGTCGATATGAAGCGCCACGCAATGGCTGATTGTGTGGATTGGTGGATATATATGCTCCCTGATGGTGATGGTCATTGTGTGATGGTTGATTAGTCGAATAAGCTTTCGATTCGAGAGTTGTGGGTATTTTTTTCAGTATTTGGGCTCCTCAACTAATGAATGACTATCATGAAAGAAGTGCATAAGCTTGAATCGAGCAGTCGAAACAACGGAGCTCGAGACTCAAATGTATAATGATATGCTTTTTGCACTGGGAATTCAGCGGCCGATAAAAAAGCCATTTCAACTAGTCGGCAATTTCATCATGACCGATGAAAAGAATCGACACCTCGTGTCAGTTATTAAAGGAAACAAAGCTTTAAGTAGCTCACGATCAAGCCATCACGAAGAAAAGGTTCATAGCTATAAGTGCTATTAATTTATGCGACTGCTGCCAATGGTTTTGACGTTCCAGACCAAAGATGTTAAAGCAACGGAATTTTCTAAGTAAGCTAGCAAGACAATGAATTGATTGATTACGAGCTGACAAGAGGATAGTCTGGATAAGAAGTGTTCGCTAAATGAAATCCCTTGTGACTACTTGTACCCACAAAATTTCCAAGTTTGCATGCTCGCTCAATTGCCCTTTTCTGTACCTCAAGCAAACGATGACGACAAAGATTTGGTGTATGATTTGTGTAAGTGTTGTTATGTCGTGAAGCACGTCGTCCTGCCGCGGGGTGGAAGGAGGCAACAGTCGCAGTCCACATTTACTCACGCGTAAGAAAAGGTCCGGTACGTACGCACGAAATCTGCAGCGGCGGAGACATGTTCTATGAATAGCGGTCTTTGCCCACGTGTTCGCTTTCCTGCTTCCGTTATTGTTGGCGCGGCCGCTCATTTAAATATTCGTTCATCGGTGGCAGGTCAGTCAGGTCATCCGATACATTAATCTTCCCCCTCTTCTCTTTCAAATAAATTAATATGGGCAACAAGGGATCAAAGGGGAAGAGCCTTCGTCCACCCATCAAAAGTGA